TTTTAGCATTCATTCAATTGTGGTGTTTTGATAAGTTGAACGGGACTCTAACGCCGCCCGATGGGCCCGACTTGTGGCCAGCGAACAACAGTAGGCGACAATGGCTGGTTTTTTACAGAGTTGATGAGATGTCATTGCAAGGAGGTGGTTTGATTGATGGAAGGGGTGCACAGTGGTGGGCTTTACCCTGCAAACCTCACAAGGTCATTTTTTATTCTTTTACTTTTAAATCATTAGAAAAGATGTAATTTTTTATTTGGCTTACTGCTGCTTTTGCTAACTTGTAACCAATAATGACTGTAGGGAGCTAATGGGACTATAATACGGGAACCATGTGACAGTCCAATTGTGAGTTATGGCAAAAACAAGTGTTTTAAAAACCAAAAACTTCAATTCTTGTTCTCCATTACTTGTTCTGAAAGTAATATTTTGAAAAAAATTTGCAGGCCATAAGATTCTTTATGAGCAACAATTTGACAGTACAAGGGATAAAAATGATGAACAGCCCCCAGTTCCATTTGAGATTCGACAACTGCAAGAATGTTCATATAGAGTCGATTCACATATCGGCTCCGGCATTGAGTCCCAATACAGATGGGATTCATATAGAGAACACAAACAATGTGGGGATATACAATTCAGTAATATCCAATGGTAACTACTAACTACACACTAATTCTCCCCAAAAGCACCTTTTGACATTTATTTTTCTTGAAAAAGAAAAACAAAATTATCTAACCCTTCAACTTTGATCCAGGTGATGACTGTGTCTCGATAGGATCCGGATGCTATGATGTAGACATCAGGAATGTAACATGCGGGCCGGGCCATGGGATCAGGTAGTGCAATTCTAATCCAAGATTTAGCTCCATCATGCACTGGTTCATACAATTCCCATTCTCTATAACAGTTTAATGAAGGAAGTGCTTGCACTTACTATAATTCACCTAAGATAGGCCTTTCTCAGAAAACACACAGAATCAGAAAAAAATTAGTTACAGTTGGGAATGCAAAATTTTCCTTTAATTCACCTCATTTTTTTGAAATGCCTACTACTTTTAGTATTTCAACCAGTGTAAATTTGTTCATTGGTCTTTGTGCATAATTAGTATTCCAAAATCCTTACCTGGTTTACCAAGTTGTTGTGCACCTCAGCATAGGCAGTCTAGGCAATCACAAGTCGCGTGCGTGCGCATCTAACATCACCGTACGTGACTCGGTCATCAAGAACTCAGACAACGGCGTTCGAATCAAAACATGGCAAGGCGGCTCGGGAGCTGTCTCGGGAGTCACGTTCGACAACATCCACATGGAAAACGTCAGGAATCCCATCATAATCGATCAGTTCTATTGCCTTGCCAAGGACTGTGCTAATCACACATCCGCAGTCCGAGTGTCTAACGTGCAGTATTCAGGCATCAAGGGCACTTATGACATTCGAAGCCCCGCCATGCACTTTGCCTGCAGTGATTCTATACCTTGCACCAATATTACCCTTTCGGACATTGAGCTGCTTCCGGATAAAGGTGATGTCATGCTGGACCCTTTCTGTTGGAGTGTTTATGGGGAGCTGCACACACTCACAATCCCCCCTGTTTCGTGCTTGCTCCAAGGGCTCCCAGGGTTGCTTTTGGAAACTCAACTCGGCTATTGCTGAAAAATTGCAACTTTTTTTTCAAATTTTCGTATTCTTGCCTTGGATATTATGTACATAAAGATGCAAAAATGTGCTTTGCAGCTATTGCGGTCGCCGTAATGTTTTTACATGTTTGAGCATATTAAAATAAATCTTCATTTTTTTTTTCTCTTGTGAATTATGAATAAATTGCCATTCTCATAGCCCAAAAAATAACCTTTCAAAAATCCAAAGATCTCAATTGAGTCACTATCAAGTATCAAGCTAAGGTCCCAAAGATATGAGAAAGTCGTTTTCAGAGAAAAAGAAAAATCCAATGAGGATATTATATACTTATGTTTTACCTTAAAATCAATAATTTGGAACCATTTCCATTTTGCACAATCAGCGAACAAACAGTTAGCCTAAAATTCAAATATTAAGTTAACCAAATGAGAATTCTTACAAACCGCAGAGACATGAATTCCAAATTTCCAATGATATAACAAAGATCACATAAAACCATGTTGATTTTGGAAATCGTAGTTGGTTATTGCTCTAAAATTGGATTTATACTCACTAATCCTGCCTTGATATGTACTTAGAAATAGAGAGCAACAAACCTTTCACAGGCTCAAGTCATGAAGAGTATGCGTAATCGAAACTTATAAGGCTTTTTTCCTTCAAGAAGATAACTGTGTTTTGCACCTATGCAGCCAAGATGATATCTTTACATGTTCGACAATCTTAAAATCTTCCAAAACATTAAAGAAATCTTTTTAAAGTTGTTTTGCTACATAATTCTATGCAAAATGGAAGATCTTTTGGGATCTTTTTTCAAAACTCAAGCACATGGAATAGATTCATAGTCAGCAAAGATCTCACACAATCCATGAAGCTTCTTTTTTTAGTTTGTCCTTTTGCAATGCTTAAGAACTCCATACTTCTGTATTGCAACCTCACTTTCTAATACATAAATCTTTTGAACAGACAGTTAACAACACTTGGGATATAGAATTCAATAACCAAAGTACAACAAATTGCACAGACACTAATTCCAAAACTATATACATAAAAAAGGGAAATCATAAACAAAGATAGATAACGAGAATGAAAAATGTGAAAAAGTAAGAGAGAGAGAGTAGGTTAACTTTAGGCCGGGGCTAAAAAGCAGAAACAGCCATTCTCATCCTCCTCCGCTCAGCACGCGCGCAGGCTGCCACCCACCGTGTGGGCCCCATTGCCTTGTTCAAGAGTGGGGCGGGGCTTTGTATAATCTAATCTGCAAAAAGTCTTCACTCACAAAATTCACCTTTTTTAAAGAAAATAATAATTTGAATCCAATAAATTTTTCAAGGAACACTCACAAAATTCAACTTTTAAGAAAATGAAAAAAAAAAATAAATCAAAACTTTCATCTTTTAGTGTAGAGAGATTGTTCGGGAAAAAGCGAACGAGGAGATAAACAAAGCTGGTCGCTCCAAAATCAGGAATTTTCAGAGGAGGTGTCCGGTGAGTGGCAGCTGAGTAGATTATCAGTATGCAACAATTATTACTCTCAACCAAACACTGTCTAATGGGAAAAATCAGCCACAGACCTTCACCTTCTTGTCGAGGGCAAAATTGGACAAGGTAAAAGAAGAAAGCAGTTAAATGGAAATATGATGAGATACTTGTTACGTTTCATGGCCGCGGCCCGATCACTATGAGGCCATAAAAAATCCAACTAAAGAAAACCCGAAAAATTAATGGATAGGCCCAAATATGGGTGCTAAAAAGCCCATTACATCATTTCTTTCATTTTTTTTCCAACGAACANAATATTACACATAAATGGTGCATATTATGCTACCCGAAATTTACCAATTATCTTACTTCATGAATAGTGCGAGCATTAGACCAAATATCGGATTAATTTGAGTCCAAAATCAAGGGTAGTTTAATTGAGATAACTTGGTACGAGTCACATTCATGTATTTGTGATTCAGCTCTTATCGAATCAAGTCAAACCCACCTTGTTGCGTTAGTCACATTCATGTATTTGTGATTCAGCTCTTATCGAATCAAGTCAAGCCAACCTTGTTGCGTTAGTCAGATGATATATTAATTAGAACTTAGTTTATTAATCAGCCTTGCTTTACCGAGCTTAATTATATTAAAAAAATGTATAAAAAAAGCATATATTTTCAAGCCTAAAATAACTCAAGCTCGACTCAAGTCAAACATTGAGCGATTATTTTCATTAGCTCCACTATAACAATCAATAGTTTCCCTAGATAAGATATCTAATTTTGGACTTATGTACTTAGACATTCTTCTAAAGATGTAGGTGATCAATTATTCCTACTCATAAGTCATAATCAAATTATGTAAAAACACACATACATATATGTGTGTGATCAATATTTTAGNTGGGGCATTAATTTTACAATGTAAAAATACGAATGTGAATCTTTCAATATCAACAGAGATGTGCCAGGTTGACAAAACCTTCCTCTATTAATTAGAAATTCATAAATTATTACTCTTTGTGAACATAGAATATTCAACCGTGATGTCACATACAGTGTCAGATGACGTAGGCTCTTTCTACGTCAGGGCATGACTACGGCGGCCTTTATTCACTCAATTGATCAGGCTATAAATTCCACGCATCTTTATTCCACTCCACAGCAAGTCTTGCAATTCCTTTCTATTCATTTGTTATTTACTAAGGCAAATAGTGATTAAACTTAGTGAAGAACAAAAATGGAGCAGATCAAGGATTGCAGGGATAAAGACGAAGATGAGAAGATGGAGAAATTATGGGCGATGGTTAGGACGATGAGGAATCAACTGCAGGAAAGTAACAACAAGAGAAGAAGGACGCTAGCATCGGGAATCGGATGGGCTCCTGTTTTCGAATTGGAAGATTTCACTACGGAAATCGAGTTCAAAAACAATGTCCCGATATTTCGAAATAATCGTAATAGTGCAAATCGTGAAGACGAACGTTCAATCGGATCAACTTCTGCTCCTAATCTTAATCTTAGTCTTTAGTTTTTGTAGAATTATCTCTGATTTATGATTATTAATTGTGCAATCTGCATTTTGTGTTGCTTAATTTGTGGGAAAATGACAATTGTTTTCTCCTAAGTGCCTGTTTAATAAGCGAGCATGATCTCTTGATATTGTGATATTTGTGCAACTTAATATATGGAGGACCAATGTTTTTAGTTGACTGTGGATTTTTCTGTCATTGACCCGAGAAATTGGAGCCTCTTGTCGGCTCGGACCCAATGGGTTGGGCCTGGGTGTTGCAGCCTAATGCTAGTAGACACTAGGGTTTTTGTACTATGTACTATAGGNTCCATCAAAGCTACCGGCCACTAAGAATTCCAAAAATAGTTGAAAATTTTTCAAATTAATAATAAACCACCAGCGGTAAGAGAAATGTAATATATTTTTTTAAAAAAAATAAACAACATACTGAGAATATATTTTTTTAGAAAATAAATAAACAAGATATTGAGTGTCGTAACAACAAAACAATAATATAACATATATGAAGCAACGTGAGAAACTTTTTATCAACGAAAAACACATTACAATCGAACATCATCAATACAACTTTTCATCAACAAATACCCAAAGATCTGAGCAACTTCAGATTCTCTCAACACTTAGAAGATGCAATGGTTGACGGGCATAGGAGCGGCGGTCGGAGTGGACCCGGCTCCGATCTATGGCGAGTGGCGACTATCGAAGGTTCTGCACGGAGTCCAGCAAGGTGGCAGTGTTAGTGATGGCTGGCGCCTGGCGGCAACTGAGTAACACTGGTTATATCTTGGAATTCGGCGAGGTTCGCGACTGAAAAGTGACCGCGATTCGTGGTTGGGGAAAACGTCAGTGATCTTCTCCGATTGCACCATGAGCCTTAATCCAATTGTTGTCATTTGGTGTGAGGCGAGTGGCAATGAGTCAGATCAGTGTCAACATCAATCTGTGAGGTCGTCGGTGAGCGAACGACAACCAACATGCTTGAAACTCATGTTGTTGACGTCGGACTATGAAATTTAGTATCGAGATAGGTTTGGGTTGCGTTAGGGCCTGTGGCCCGTCTCAGTGTGGTCAAGGCTCGAAATGAGTTCTTTTGTGCTTGATATTTATACTACTGTTGATTACAAGTATAGGTGAAAAGCGAGTTTGAATTGATATCTACGAGTTTTCTGATGCATGAGGTTTTTCTTGTAACTGGTACAACGTGAACTGATAAAAGGATATTAGACGAGCAAGTCTTCATTTGAAGGTAAGGGGCATAAAGTTTTGGATTTGGTTACAGGCGTGTGTTTAGTAATTTGTTTGTTGTCGATTTTCAAGGGACGAGGAATGAGTCTTGAAAATTTGTTTACATTCACGCCTTTGTCCTCTGGAAAGAAGAAGAAGAAGAAGAAGAAGAGGAAGAAGAAGAAGAAGAAGAAGGAAAAGGAAGAGGAGGAGCCTCGTGGAAAAGAAAAAAGAAGAATGAGAAGGAATCATCACGCCTCTTTATACTGAACAATTATATTATATTCCAAATAAGACCTTTAATGGATTATAAGAATAGAAATGAGTAATTATGAGAGTACTGTTGTAAATAATGGACTAACAAATAGTCATTTGTATAAATTAGACTATGTTGTAAATAATAGACTATTGTACAAATTAGACTATGAATAGTACATTGTGTAAAAATATCAAAGAAATGTGGCAAAATTTTGCCTATAAATATGGCTCAATTCATTGAGCATGTACACATAGAAATACAAAAAAGAAAGAAAGAAGAGAAAGAAATAAATGAGAGAAAATTTAGTAAAATTTGTCTCCGGTTTATATAATTGTGTTCTTTATTTTCTTAGTATTCATAACACGTTATCAGCACGAGCGCTCTACCCGGTCAGAAAGGTAGTAATATATTAATTATATATATATATGTATATATAAAATTAGTATATTTTACTACTATACATATTACCACTATTATTGGCAAGTAAGACTATGCCATAGTCAATAATATGTGACATTTTTATTTGTTTTATCGAGTAGTGTGGAGTGACATTTTTATTTGTTTTATTAGCTAAAATGTTTACTAAGTAACCCGAAAAAATTATATGTTGATATGCATGAATAATTAAATTTTTCATGAATGATATAATTAACAAATACTATATCAATAATGTGTTTTAAATATAATAATAAAAAAAAATATATATCTAACGGCTCTTTTTGCAACGGCTATTTATCAATCTATATATATCACAGTTCACTTCATATATTAGCACTCATTCCAAAATACTACAATATATTCTCCTCAAGAAAAAAATAATGTTTAATCTATTGTTTGTAATTACCATTATATTGTTTATTATATACGCTTTGGGAATTTTCACAATGATGTATCATACTTCTGAATTTATATTTTATGTATTAGGTTTTTGTGTAATGAGTTTATTATTTGCTCTTATGTACGTTTTGGAGAATTAATGATTGTATATGTAATTTTTTCGAATCTAAGCATTGATGTTTTATTTTATAGTTATCATGGCAAATCTGGTCAAACTCGAATTTGAAGCTCTTGATATATCTGGAAAAAATTATATTTCATGGACATTGGATGCCGAAATTCATTTGGCTGCAACGGAGTTGGGAGAAACGATAATCTCCCCAAATAATTCATCAATACAGGATAAAGCTAAAGCAATGATATTTCTGAGACATCATTTGAATGAGGCATTGAAAAATGAATATTTAACTGTGAAAGATCGTGCAGATCTCTGGAAAGCCTTGAAAGAAAGGTATGATCACCAGAAAACGGTGATTCTCCCCCGGGCTCGTTATGATTGGATGCACTTACGCTTTCAAGATTTCAAAACTGTAAACGAGTACAATTCAGCAATGTTCCGCATTTGCTCGGTATTGAAATTATGCGGGGAAAACATAACTGATTACGATATGCTGGAAAAAACGTTGTCCACATTCCACGCTTCAAATGTACTTTTGCAGCAACAATACAGAGCAAAAGGCTTTGTGAAATATTCTGAGTTGATTTCTTGCTTGTTGCTAGCTGAACAAAATAATGAGCTGTTGATGAAAAACCATGAATCTAGACCTACGGGGTCTACTGCGGTCCCTGAAATAAATACTATAATATCTAGATAGGGAACTGGAAATAAAAACAGCCAAACACATGTGCGTGGATATACCTCAGGACGTGGCCGTGGTCGTGGACGTGGCCGTGGATATGGTCTGGATTGTCAATCCGGCCGAGACCACAGATTTCACCGAGGGTATAACTCGGGCCGAGAATACAATCGTGGACGAGGCCGTAACTATTTCCAAGATTATGAAAAGGGGAGGCATTTCCAGCCAAAATTTGAACAGAACAATGTGACGGAGAATAATGATGAAAAGGCATGTTATCGATGTGGAAGGAAGGGACATTGGGCACGAAATTGTCGTGCTCCGAGGCACGTTGTTGATAATTATAATGATTCCCAGAAATCAAAAGATAAGAATATAGAAACCAATTTTATGGTTGGGGAATCCTCTGAAAATGATGCAACACGTATGGATGATGACTATGGCATCGATGACATATTGAAACTGGATTTTGCCGATGCAGTATTTGAAGACAGAGATGGAAATGACGAAGAGAATAATTGATGATCTGTTTTCTGTATGATTGAATTTCTAAGTATGATTGTAATAATGTATGAAACATCTCTATACGTATTTCGAAATTAATCAATAATATTTTTATTTTTGTTTTAGATCATGGAACAATCCCGAATGCAAAATG